ACAGGTCAGCCAGGAAAGGGCGTTGTACTGCTCCAACACAAATCTGTGAAGGAAAAACATTTTGGAATATTCAGCATTCGCTATCATTAAACTGAATTATATCACTTCCCAGACACTTAGAGGAACATTACCTGAGAACATCAGAGGTCTGACTGGAGTCCAGGGGGTGAGTGTGTTTGCTGTGCAAAAGTTCATCCGATTGCACTGAAGACACATGGAGGTGTAGTGAGGCCTGGGAGTTGGGAAAGAGAGAGGCAAGAAGACATTTTCAGTCGACAGAATCCATTAATCTACGCCCACCCAAAACAAGCTACAAAGCCGAACATTTCCTCTCATTATCAGGGCCTGTTATGAATTAAATCGACAAGCCCATGAATGAATAAACACGAGACGCCAGAAACATTCATACCCCTGTTTATGGTTTCCTTTATTAGGGAACGGTTTGCTCCAGACTTTTTAATTGTGTACAAGTCAGCAATAAACAAACAGCTGCTTATCAAATCAAATGCTTTGCCTTAATAATTCATGTCAACACATTTTACGAGCTCAAATGTTTCTCTCCTGCTCTCTCTTATACACACCAACAGCAGTCTGGCCCAATCCCTGAGTACTGAATTATTTAAAAATCCCCCATTGCAGGATTCTCTATAAATGCTGCATGAGGAGGAAACAAAAGGTCATGTGACCTGGATAAAGCATGACAGGTAGATGGGTGCAGTATCACACTGCTTTCTGAAGAAAATGACATTCTGAACAATGTTGTGTTGGCTCTGCATATAGTCTAATATCCATTTTGCACATTTACAGTATTCCTTAGGGATGAATCAAGTTTTGCTAAGGAAATTTGATGCAATAATGTACAAATCCCAAGAGAAAAATGTCTGCATTATGAGCAAGGAGCAATTACCTTTAAGAAAAGGGGACACTGGTTCTGTGCCTGAGGACACGCGGACCAGAACCAGTCAGGCAGTTGACCTGCTTTAGCTGTGGACACAAAATAGCCCAGAGCTAATGGCTGCTGGAGGATATTGGGAGCTTCTTCATGAGACTCCATGCGGTCTGTACTTTGACCCTGAAAAAGAAGAAAAGATAGAGATGA